TTTTTATAAAACATTATGAAATTATTATAAACATACCATAGTGAGGTTATTCGTTCCATAATATCTTAGATATGCTTGCAATTGGATAAGAATGTAGTTGGATAATCTTACAATTGAATAAACTTACAGATAGGTAAGCTTGCACAAGCAGACAACCATCTATAAGTAGGAAGCACATTCAATTTATTTGTACATCAATTACTCTCTTTATTCATAAATTTCACAAAATATCATTTACCAATGAATTCTCCAAAACTAGAGCTTCTCAGGTGAGTTTCTATTCGATGTCCTTTTTATTTCTTCTTTTCTATCTTTTTTTATAACCACCTTGACATGTTATGCTATTTTCAATTTACAGCGAGATTAAGAAAGCAGGAAAAGCAGTAGATTCTAAAAGGAAAAGGATCTTCTTAGAATATGATATGCAGAGTGAATTGATGGAGAGAACAACTAGCTCTGCTACTATCGAAGAACATCATGAACTTGACAAAAAGATTCTTGCAGACTGTGACCAATTGACGGCAGAGGTTAATTAAAATTTTACCATGTATAAATTCATGACATGTTCTAGTAAATTGATTATTAACTTTATCCAGCCTTTTTCTTTTGCATTGTCAAAAGTGGTTAAACTTCATCGAAATTTCGAAGACAATGGAAGCTTAAAAGTAGTCTTGGCAATGAATATTCCTATGGAGATTGCATATTACAAGATTATTGATTTAGTAGCAAAGTTAGGAGAAACATCATAGTTTTGTTTGTGAAAATTCTAGTTGTACTACAATGCTCTTTATTGAAATAAATTTTTTTTACGTTATTTTAATTCGTAGCTACGTTAGTTATATATTTATAGTCAATCAAACAAAGAAAATAATCTTGTGTTCAGTACATTTATCACTTACCCAAAAGACTAAAAAAATTAAGATATTTTAAATACATATTTTACTATTAAATCAAATGATCTACAGATTAAAAAATAGTCAATCTCCGCAACCAATGGTGCCATAACTGTTTCATAATTAATTTTCACGCATCTTCTAAAATCTAGTCACGTATTAGTACTAGAACAAAGGAGGCAGGTTCATAAAAAATCATTTAACGGTAACAATAATTGCAAATTTAATTAACAAATTCAATAATATCTAATACACAATTTTAGGTAAATACAAATAAAAAGAAAATTAGCAGAATCAAATTATTTTTTCACCACGCAATGAAACCGTAGACAGTCAGGTGAAATCCAATCCCCGAAATAATTTTATCTATGGACAGCATCGCAGATTTATCCGAACAAAATATTTTTTATTATTAGAATTGATATTTAGGTAAAATTTTGAATGTACCTCTTATTATTGATACAACATACAAAAGAAAAGTAAACCACAAGCTCTTATTTAAAATATATGACTTTAACCTAATTAATGTTTCCACCAATTTGATACAACAAATCATTAGACAACCTTCCAAATAATTAAAAAAAAATAACGTCCTAAAAAAGAGTTGAAATTTTATCTACGAGGAGACTTAAATGTTATAATGATTTTGTCACTGCCCGAGCCTACACCCTGGACGTGGCCGGCACTCGGAGACCATCGCTGGACCCAAGCAGACCCTTGGCATGGCTTACTTAACTCGGCGGAAGACTTAACTCAACAGAATAAACTCAATGCAATAGTTTAAATGATAACATCTTAGCCAAAATGGCAACTTATGTCTCAAAACAAAGTATCTGTAAATACATAGATGAGAGACTCAATACTAACTGTTTGACTGTCTATGAAGCCTCTATAACACTGAGATGGATGTTGGGACAGACCCCGCAACATCCTAATAAAGAAAAGTAGGAAAGCGAAATAACAGAGTCCTCCGGAATGCAAGGAGGCTCACCACTGACTCTGGAGTGCTCAACTGGATCAACGGCGTGCTTGATGCTTATCCTGGTTACCTGTGTCT